GCCTCCGCGACGCTGCCAAAGCTATACAATTGCCCCAATCGGGTAAGCGCAAAGCGTCAAAACCTCATAAGCCAGCTACAAAGCGTCAAAAGTGTGGTGGTGTTGCTCCAGCTGTGGTGGGAGCCGCAAGGGTTGCACGAGCTGCTCCACCGCGTAGTCGATGGCAACGACTGATAACGCCCTCCAAAAAAATTTCTGAATAAGCCAAAACTTTCGTAGGCCTGTATATAGTATAATCCTAGCTTTGCGCAATTTTATTACGATTTGTGGTGGCTCTACAGCCTCATCTTGTTGACTATATTGAGTTGTTGGGGGTGCTCAACTGGCGATGGTGCTCATCTGGTGCACGGGCACTGTAGCGTATTGACATCATCGCGCCCGCTACCCGCAGCACATGGTCGACAGCTCAACTCCATTGCTAACACATCCAAAGACGTCATGGCTCAAGCGGCGCTCCCAGACGATATCTTACATCTCTTGTGTGAAGAGCTTGCAAACCAGGAACAGTTTGATACCCTCTTCAACTGCGCTTGTGCGAGCCGCGCTCTTGCTGTCCCTGCATTGACCCATCTGTACAAGTACTTGAAGCCCGTCTGGCCAAGCCGATCGTTGCCTTTTGCTGATGCCCTAGAAGATCCCATCATCTTGCGCCAGTCCGAGGCGGCGGAGAAGATCTATACGGCCTACCAGCCGCCACCAAGCTGCTTACTATCCAGAAGTGGTCCATCTTGTGGCGGTCCATTGTTGCATCGAGCCTTGACGCTACGCTTTTCCCATATTGCCGGTACATTAGGTCGCTTGACTTCCGTGATCTTGGCTACCTTCTCGAAGATGACCAGTTCCGGGCAAAGGTCTCAAAGTCAGTCAGGCCTTGCCAACACCGTCTGGCTTTAGTGCTGATGTTTGTAGACAATTCTTTTCCGGCCCATTGAAGCAGTTTGAGAAGACGGAGACGTTGACGAACCTCAGAGGCAGAAGGTTTACGCGGATAAAGACAGCCGACATCATTGATGCCATTGGCGAAGGTATGGCAGCCTACCTCGTACCATGCATCTGATGTACTCACACTTTGCAGTGGTAACACAACACACTCCCACTCTCGAGGTAATTAGTGGAGAACGTAAGTTTATCCTCACATTAAAACACTTCACAGGTACCTGACAGCCCAAAGTTCAGCCTGGTGCCCTCGTCCGGTGGACACCACGTCTACCGCGGCTTCAAAGCCTCGAACTCTGGGATGGCAAGCCTCTGGAAAACGAGCAAGTCCACGCATCCATCTACGAGCACTGCCCACAGTTCAACTCCCTCATGATATACACCTGGATGTCCACTGACAATGACCAAAAATTTGCCAAATTCCTTTCCTCTATGCGATCCAATACGCTACAAACACTCCAGACTATCAGCGATGTCAAAGCAGGCGCCGAAACATTTCTTGCACTGAACAACCATGGAAAGTCACTCGAAGACCTTCGTCTATGTGTGTCCAACGACTCCATACCGCACCTGGCTCTTCTGCAAGGCTGCACAGCGCTAAAGACACTGCGCATTGAAGACATACACGGCACCGTAGACCTCGAAGCAACCGAGCACGACGTCTTCCTCGAAATCATATCCTGGCTTCAAAAATGCTCCAATCTCCAGCGTCTCAGCTTCTCAAAGCTGCAGTCTGGCGCGGCCATCATCACACCGGTGCTACTGGAAGAGAAGATCCAACTCAGCAGTCTAGAGATAGACTCTTACACACTCAAAGACCACAAGTCGTTTCACCAGGCCCTAGTGCATCAGCAGTCTTCGCTGAGAGTCTTGTTTCTCAGCGGCGACACCGAGGGCATGTTCCGCGACGATCTCGACATCCTCGTTGAATCCCTAAGACAACTCCGCCAACTCCGAGACCTGCACCTCATTCTACCTGAAGTATTGCGCGACGATCATCTCAAGATCATCATCGCAGACCTTGTTCTCCTCGAAGACTTGTACGTCAGCGGCCTGGAACTCAACGACGACGTGCTACCGCATCTAGCCAGCCTGCCCAATCTCCGCACCGTGACCATCTCTGGCATTTCAAAGTTCACCGTGGAGGGCCTGTTGGATTTTATATCCAGGCTGGGATCCGGGAACCAGGGCATCCGCTTGTCGATCGATATGGCAGATATCGATACGCTGCTTTCGGAGGACGAGTTGACGCTGATTAGAGATAACCTGACGGAAAAAGTTGGTGGTACTCTCGAGTACATGGGACTGAGAGGTACGTTTGCGTGATCAATGAAACGCTGATAAAAGGCGCTTGATTAACATTGTGCAGATCCGAACGTGCCTGAGTTCGAAAGCGATTCCGACTAAGCCGTCATTGGGACCTGAGCCAGTTCTACCCGTTTTTACCGTACGTTGTGGAGTGTAGTCAAGGGCTTATTTTTGCATTCAAAGCGTTTTTTTTGAGCTCAAGCTGGCTTGTTTCAGGATACACATACATTTGGGTAATGAGAGTAATGTGGAAATGATGGAGATCACCTTTTTTTTCTTCTCGCCATCTTGCTACGTCGTGTACAGGGAAACCGCTCATGATGACTCCGTGCACGTGTTGTGTGGTGTTGCATTTGTAACTGCAAAAATCTACTTGGAAGTCTACAAACACGATGGCTTCCAAGGTGTTAGATGCTCGCTCAATCATTCCGTGTCTCCTTCACTCTCTTCGCTCTCTTCACTGTCATCATCGTCATCCACCTCCTCTTCCTCTTCATCTTGCACCCGCTCCTCAAGCATCACAATCCGCGTCTCGTAAACATCCCTCTCCAACTCGGGACACTCCCTAACCGCCTGCATAAAGTCGTCCCTCAAATCGCTCGTAAGATATGCCCACCAATTCTCCGCCACAAACCCCGCCAGGTACTCCTTGAGCCGATCGTGATACAGAGACCCCGCATTCCTAGACGTGGACGCGTACACGCGGCGGGCAAAGCGCAAGACATGCGCCAAACCAGGCGTGAGGACGACTTCTTCGAGTTTATCCACAATATCGTCCATGAGATCCGCCATGTTAAGCGCATGAGCAACGAACCACGCAGCAACGCACTGCGCAAAAGCAGCATCCATTTCGCCTGCGCAGGGCGCGCGGAACCCAAAGCCGCCGCTTTCCAGGTACTCTGCTGCGAGGGTAAAGTCTGCTGGTTGGATGGTGGAGAGAGCGGGATGCTGCAGTTCCCAGATGCCGTCGGTGTAGCCGAAGTAGTTTAGGCCTTGTCTGGGGTCCCGGAAGTAAGTGCGGTTCCAGACGTATTGCGTGTGTAGGATTCTGACTTCGTTGGTTGGGCCAACGCGCACTTGGACAAACTGTTTGCTTTCGGAGCTGGAAGATTGTTAATTCGGTGGCATCTTGCGGTAGGGTGATGATGGGCTTACAGTTCGCAATCTACTGTATCACTGGTTGCTTTGCTCAGAGTCTTGTTTACATGGTCCCATGCGTCGTCTAGTAAAGATGGCGGTAGGCAGGATGGTGTGTTGACTAGCTCTCCGTCTTTAGGTTCTGTAGTTGCGTCATTCGAATTTTCAGACGTTGAGTCTGACATGCTGCAGTCTCCGTCATTTCGTGGTACTGACACACTTGTGCCAGAACCTGTAGAGGCTGGTAATCCCTCGTTTGTAGCAGTGTGCTGGCGACTAGAACTCGCTGCTGACTTGGGAGGCGAGCAAGAAGGCGCACACCTAGATGTCTCTTCCACTTTGTTTGCAGTATGACTATAGTACTCTTCCCGACTCAGTCGAATAGCCTCCATCCACTCGGGATCCGAACAGGTGTTGTTGGAGTCTGAGTCTGCTTCCGATACATTGTCATTTGCATCTGCGGTGGTAGCCAGGTACTGTTCTCGCCAGTCGTCTAGGCCTATGCCACCTTCAAGTGCATTGTTCGCCATCTCATACGCATATTCAAGGCCTGGTGTATGTCTTACCATGAAATCATTATATTGTACCGAAGGATCATACTCGGTCAACTCGGTTGTGCGTGCCCAGCGGCTATCTAGTTAGCACGCTGCGGGACATGACATGAGATACTTACAAACTTAGATCATGGCCTAAAAGCAACACAAGAGTGACATATGCATTACCGCATGGGCGGGTTTGCAGTATCTCGTCGGGTGCCATGTCATCTGTGCAGATTACTGCTGGCCATGGTGGTAAGAGGGAAGTCAAACGCTGATACTGAACCAGGCTACCGGGGTTAAGTTGGACCATGGCTCTGAACCAGTTGGTAGATTTAGACGCTGCTACCGAAGTGCTGGGCGGATGCAATGACGTGTGGAAGATTTGATCGGGTAGTAGAGAGGAGACACGAGGCACCACTGTTGGTTGAGGTGGTGTAAAGTAAAGGAAACAAGAAATAAGTAATGTAGGTCCTGTCAAAGATGAATAGTAGAAGAGCAAGAAGTGATTTTTCAAGCGGCTTGGTATAAATCTATATCACGCGAGTGATACACTCAGGTGAAGGTCGCTCCAGGTAGTACGCATTGCAAGTGATAGACGGCAGCATTATCCAAAGGCACTCGCACGTCAAATCCTCCAAAAAAACATCATTTCTGCAATACAAGTAAGCAGACGACACAAAGGGAAGCCATCCAGCAACGCGACATATTTTCTCAAATTTCCATATTTCCATGTTGGAGTGTCGGTCCGAGTTGCGGAGTTTGGCTCGCACGCACGCTTCGGAGGTTGACTAAGCTGGCCCGCAAGTAAGTCAGTACCTAGCCCCAACCCCAGGTTTCCCAAGGGCCATCTGGCATTAACCCCATCGCGACCCTATCATCTCACGACCACGCGCCCCCCCCCCCCCCAAAAAATCGCCGTCGCCTGTCCACTTTCGAAAGAACGCCGCGCCCGCGAACACGATATTACACGGTTTTTTTTTGTTTCTTACTCCGGATCGGCACTGGACGAAATACAATCCATACTTTCTGCAATACGGAATCCAAATCCGCAACAATGCTAGGCATCGCCGACATGCAGCCACGGCAACTCGCCGCGCAAGTGCTCAACTTTGCGCTGGTGCTGTCGACAGCATTCATGATGTGGAAAGGGCTGTCTGTAGTGTCGGACTCGCCATCGCCAATCGTGGTTGTGCTTTCTGGATCCATGGAGCCGGCGTTCCAGCGCGGCGACCTGCTGTTTCTGTGGAACCGGGGGCTCGATACACAGGTGGGCGAGATTGTCGTGTACAATGTCAAGGGCAAGGAGATTCCCATTGTGCATCGTGTGGTGCGGAGATATGGTGGAGGGTGAGTTGTTCATGTTCTCTTTTTTTGTGGGGGTCAGGCATATATATATATATATATATATATACTAATACTCGGGTGCTTGATAGTAAAACTCCTCTTCGCCTCCTCACAAAGGGAGATAACAACCTTGCTGACGACACGGAACTGTACGCTGCTGGCCAATCCTTCCTCAACCGCAAAGAAGATGTCATTGGAAGTGTAGTCGGATTTATACCTTTTGTGGGATATGTGACGATTCTGCTGAGCGAGCATCCATGGCTGAAACAGGTCATGCTGGGAATAATGGGAATCATGGTAGTGTTGCAGAGGGAATAGTATGTGCATGGTAGCAAGAGGGCGTTGTGTGTATGTGTTTTGCGTGTTGAGATTGATGACGGCAATGTGGATGGCATCATGTCCAGACATAGTGTTGATCTTGGCTGAAAAGCGTTGCTCACCAGTTTTGATGTATGCATGCTGTACGTATGCTTGAGAGATGGTAGACCCGGATGTTTAAGGTTTATCCAAGCACATTCTAAATGTACAGAATTGAATCAAACAAGTACAGGATTAGATTTGGAAAAAAAACAGACTCACCACTAGCACCTCTCTCACTTCCCTCCTCGTACCAAACCTCCAAAAAATCCAGACCACCAGCACCACCACCACTAACAAAAAAGAAAGCAATGCGCCGTACGGGGTTCGACTATGCATGACGTCAGCATTCCAATTCGAACTCTTTTGTCGTAATTCGCGAGTATGATGGAGTACTTACACCCGTGATCCCCGCCTTCTTCGCCGTGAGAAAATGCTGGGAAGGCGATAGCATACCACTAGCCCAACGACGCGGGTTCTGCTTTTTGTTGATAGAGGGGAGCAGGGGGTAAGAGGGGATATAAAGCTGTTGTGTGTGTGTTTTGGTGGAAAGAGTGGAAGGAGTAAGTGGATTGAGTGGTTTGGTTGGGAAGGGACGGGTAAGAGAGGGGATGGCCGAAGCGGGGGAGGGACGGAGAGTGGAATGGGCGGGGAGTTGTTTTGGTTCACTAAGAGGAAAAATAAAGGAAAAGGAATGGGGTAAGGGATTTTTGGTCATCAGTATGGAAAGGTCCGTCATGTTGTCAGGGATGGATACTACTTCACGACAGCATGGGGCGACAGGGGTTCAGGGCGGGATTCAGGGCGGGATCCGGGATCCGGGCTACGGGGAGCATGAGCAGTGCTACGCTGAGGGAGTCAAGCATGCTCCCGCTCCCACTCGCACACCAAGATTCACGTGGCAAGACGCAGAAACAGACAGTGTGAGCAGACGGTAGATGCAGCAAAGATTCTCCATACTGCAGTTTTGACTAGTGTACACATAGAGACTTGGTCATGAGAGCTTTCGTGATGTTTCCTTTCCAGCGTCCAAAGTGGATAAGACGCCCAAACATCATGACCGACCGCCATCAGCGCTGAAATCGTACTGACTGTGACGGTCCTTTATCGCAATGAACCACAGATTTGCTAGCCGAAGACGCTCCCCCGAGAGAGAAATACGAACCCATTAAAAGTAGGAACATGACATATGAAATCGAGAGAGACAGAGTAGAGCCTGGACCACGCACGGCAAGACATCAAACTGGTTGCCGTGGAAGGTGTAATTGGAAACACCCATGAGTGATGACGTTTACTCAGACTCTTCCTCTTCCTCGTCGGCAGCCTGGGGATGTCAGCACGGGCCGGGCATTGTTTTGTAGCCGGTAAAGAGGACATACCTGGTAAGCGGCCTTCTCCTGTTCATAGCGCTTCTTGTCAGCAGCAGCCTTGGCCTCGTAGGGCTGGCGCTGCTTGTCGTTGAGAGCCTTCCACTTCTCACCGAGAAGCTTGCCAACCTCGCCTGGGGAGAGGTTAGGGATCAATTAGAAGAGGGTAGGCAGGCGGAAACTTACCGAACTTGATGCCGGGGTTGTCCTCGCGGACCTTTTCACGTTGCTCGTTGGCGAAGAACATGTATGCGGACAGACCACGCTTGGGCGCGTTGGGGTCTGCACTTGTCAGCGTGAGAAACGAGATGCACGTGATTTTACTTACCCTTCTTCTTCTTGCCGCCGTCGGCCTTGGACTTGGGGGCAGCCTTGCGGGTGGTCTTTTCCTTGGGCATGGTGGTGGTGGTGGTGGTGGTGGTGGTGGTGGATGTGCTGTTGGTTGATGTTAGCTGTTTGGTTGAGTAGAGAGAGAGAGCGAGCAGGATTTTGGAGAGAAGAAAGAGGGAGAGGCAGGCGTGGGCAGCGATTGAGCAAGCAGACACGAGCGGTGCAGGGCAGCACTAGCGGTGTCGCTGGCAAAGTCGAGCCGTGGTGAGTGAGTGCGTGGGTAATTGCGGTAGTGGTGGTGGTGGTGATGGTGGCCGGGTGGGCTGCTCTGCTCTGCGCGTGTAGTGACGCGGTTGCAAAACACCAGCGCACAACGCGATGGTGCGCGATTTTACGATGAGAGAAGGAGCAGGTACTCACCAAAGGACGTGAATTGGGCAAAATGGAAATCGTTGATGGAGGTCTGTTTTGCGGTCAGTATGCGGGCTGGCTGGGGGCGGGCTGGTCGACGGCGACGATGGATCAGGTCGAACGCGATGAAGGTGGCAGAAATGCAGAATGAAGGCTGGGAGACGACTGGGTGGGGGAAATGAGGCGGGAAAACGCGTGCACAAAGGGTGTGGTTGCGTGCAGTGGTGCTGGTGATGAAGCGACTTGGGCATATACGGGCGGGGACGACTCACCAAAGGGTTTTGCAGGCCAAAGTTGTATGGGGGTTCTACGCTGAGAGGTTTTGGTGAGCGGGCAGCAGCGAAAACAGCGAGGACTGCAAAGGACCCTCACAGCGCGCCCTGGCAGCGCGCCCGCATTAGGTAAGCACGCTTGTTTTGCAGCCATGGCATGGCATAGCACACGCACCCGCACCCGGACCACCACCCCTCCTTTGGCCAGCCCAGCGGAAGCTGCCCTGCGCAAGCTGCCCTGCCTGGCCCTCACCGCACCGCACCACCGCTGCCACACGCACCACACCACACGCACACAGGCGCACACACGCACACGCGCACACGCACACGACGCCCACCACCCAAGACGTGCAGCGGCGGCACGCCCCCGACGAGGCTGCACCCGCGAGACGACACGGCGGCGGCGGCATGGCGATGGCGATGGCGATGGCGATGGCGATGGCGATGGCGATGGCGGCCATGATGCACCCGAGCAAGAGCAGCACCATGGCTGCGCGCGCCCTCGCTCCTGCCCTCACGCACTCACGCGCCCGCCCGCTCCTTCCCTCGGCCACGCATTCACTCCCTCACTTCCACTTCCTTCTTACCACTGACACCACCCACACCCACACCCACACCCACACACAGGCGCCTCCTGTCCTGGCGAGTTTCAAGTTTGGTTAGATTGCACGCAGACGGCCATGGCCTACCATTCGTTGGGCCCGCGCATGCGAAGCGGCCCTGGCTGGTTGACGTTATCTTTCATAGCGCGGCAGGCTCCTGTTCTTCCCCGAGCTCCTCCCACCCCCCGCCCAGCCCAGCCCAGCCCAGCCCAGCACATGCACCCAGTCGCGTACCTTGCCCGCCTGTGTACACACGCGCGCTGCGAGAGGGCGAGAGCCCTGCAGCCCGCCTCCATGGCCTCACCACAACGCTCGCCACACACGCTCCTCGCATGTCAGCCTGCCTGCCTTGTGGCTGGCCCCCCGCAGCCTGTCTTGCCTCGTTCTGTGCCCGCCGTTCCGCCCATGTTCCGTGACGGCTAACCACGCGCCTCGCTCGCCCGCGCCCTGCCCGGCGACAGGCCTGTGGTGCATGCCTCAGTCTCTGCACTTGCTTGCACCCGCTTGCAGCCACGCACGCCGTCTTGGTAAAGGGGGCAAGGCCGCAGCGTAAGGCTCGCCTAGACCGGCACCCCCCCCCCTCTGAAATGTGCCGCGACGTGCTATACCCACCCTCGCCCTCGCCCACCCTATCACTACTATTACCGCCCACCCAGCACTGCCAAACATGACCGGCCCGTCAGGCGTTCGGCCGGGGCCACAGCACCAGCACCAGCACCAGCTCCAGCTCCAGCCCATTGCTCCAGCAACCCCCATGACGTCCTCGGTCAACAAACACCCGCTCGCCTGTGCACCAGCCATCGCATCTTGACACTATTGCTGCACCATGGCTCTCATATTTTTGGCAACACAGTAAAGTTTTGCTAACCACGCAGCCTGTGACGACCTCAGCTCCCCTTTGATGCTCGTGCCCCGTGCGCGCCACACTTGTCGCAACTGCAACATGGCATGCAGAGCGCTGTCGCTCGCGTACCACGTCAACAATCCTCCTCCCCCTCGCCTTCCATGACCAGCTCGCTCAAGCCCTCGTCGGCTGCCCAGTTGATGCCGCTGCCGACAATCATGCCTGCCAACACCCCCTGGAGCGTCTTTGCCCGCCGCCGTGACGCCCGCAGCTGCTGGTCCACGGCATCCACCTGGGCGCGCAGCTGTGGGTCCTGGATATCCTGTGCCGACTGCGCCTTCATTTCTTCGGCCAAAGCAACCATCGTCTGCGCCAGCTCCCGGTTCTGCCGGTTCGCGACCATGTTTGCTTGCTCTGCTGCGCTCAATGCACGCATGGTTGAGGCCAGCTTTGCTGTTTGAGCGCCGTGCATCATCGAAACCGTGTCGTTTTCTGCCATGAGCGGGAGAATGCGTCTGCACGCCAGCCATTAGACACGCAATCAATCAAACAGAGGCACCACGGTAGCCCGTGGGAAGAGACTGACTTTGCCGCAAATGCTGCTGTTCGCTCGCCGCCGCCGCCGCCGCCGCCGCCGTGGACAGCCTGCAGCACCGGATCCATGACCAGCACCTTGTGCGTGATCCTGTTGCGCATCTCGTACGCCGCCCTCGCCTCCATGGCTTCACGCTGCGCCATGGTCAGCCGCTCCTCGACCAGGTCATCTGGAAGCGCCGAAAAGTCATGCGCCTGTGCTAAACGTTGAATTAATCTCCGATCTGCATGAACCGGTTCGACATACAGAACGTGCCTGACTGCTGCGCGCCGACGAGGCTCTGCTGCAGCTCGAGTTCGTAGAGCTGGTCGTAGAGTTGCAGGGCTAGCCGTTCGCTATCCGAAAACGCGAACGCGTCGCTGTAATTTGTCTGTAGCACCGAGGCATGGTCGTCTGCATCGCGTGCCTCGACAGGCGCGTCGGCCATGTCGACGTCGCCGCCCCGTGTCGCCATGTTGGCCGCAGGCGGGTTTGGTCCGTTTCCAAGTGTGCGGTTGAGACGTCCTCCATCTGACCCAGCAGCACCTTCAACATGATGCGGTGTGGGGCCCATGCGCCGATCCCTGCGTGAACCATGCTTGGCGGTATTTGCGTCGCCATGTGCTCACGCTCTAGCACTCGACACTGCACCTCGCCGCCGGTGCTGCCCTGACAAGATTCCACCAAGCACAAAGGGCAAGCCTGAATGTCGCTGCAGATTGCTGTAGCTCATACGGGCCAGCGTCTCGACGCTGATCCGGTTGCCTTTACGTCGGTCGATGCGCTCAAGTACTGGATCTCGCGGACGACTGAGATACCGCCTGAGCAGCAGGTCTTGCTCACGACTCAGGGGAAGCATGTCAAACTGCAAGCGCTGTTGACCGAGGCAAGCCACTGCTGTGCCCCTCGCCCGCCTACATGCTAACACGCCTCTACAGAAGGAGATATTTGTCTTTAGTCGCGAGCTCTCCAACAACCCGCAGGCTGCCATATCCCCCACGCCACTACCCGACTCGTTCGTTCCCCAAGATGCGCCCAACCACCTCGCAAGCAACACAGACCTGAGGGCATGGCAGGCGCTCTTCCAAGCCCGCCGTGACTGGGCCTTTGCCCTCCTCGACAAGTCACACTCCATGTTGCGCATAGCCTCGAAGCATTTGGCCGAGCAAGCCACCATCGAGAAGGGTACACAGGTCGCGGTCGGGAACCACGATGCGCATATCAAGGGGCTGGAGCAAAAGTACAGGGCGGCCAAGGCGTGGTATGATGGTGTGGAGAAGGAGGCCGGCGACAACCTGCAGAGGTTGGACGGGGATTTCGCACAGCTAGCGACAGTTTCGGCCATCCTCAACTTCAAGCGCTTCCTAGCCAAGGAGATGCGATCTGCAAAAAATATACCCAGCAATGTGATTGTGCGTGAGACGCTCCAAGACTTCCTCGATGCCGACACGGTCAAGATGGCCACGGCAACGAGCCAGCGCGTACGCGAGTCTTTCGGGAAACGCATGGACAAGATGAACATGCAGCTCGACAAGATCGGCGCAGACTACAACGAATTGCTGAAAGCCGTTGGCCAGAGCCAGAGTCGGTCCGTCGTCGACGATACCGAAGAGCCGGTTCGCTTATACAACGAGATCGATGCCGTAGCAAAGAAGGTCGAGTCAGACTTTGAGCACGTCATGGGGCTCGAGGCAAGCTCCAAGTCTGTTGCGCAAGTCTCCAAGATGGCTTTGTTGCACACCCGAAACTTCCTGCCAGCCATACACGAGTACAGTGTAGAAATGAGCGACCTCGTGCGGCGAGCTGTTGAGCAAAAGAATGCAGCCATCAGAAACTCGGTCGAAAGCATGCAGGCCATTGCCACGATTGAGTCCATCATCGCAAGCATGAGCGCCGACCTGGAGCAAATCAGCATACCCCAAGAGGGCGTGGCAGCCTTTGAGCTTATTTCTCTCGTCGGCCGCCTGCCCTATGTATACGGTACGCTCCTTGTGGAGGCTGTCCGGAGACGCGAGTGGATGGAGAGAATGCAAAGAGATACATCCTCGCTCGCCGAGGAGATGGCAACCTTCCAAGAAGAAGAAGAGCGACGGCGTAAGAGGTGGTTAAAGCCGATTGCCGATGTCGTTAACCTGGAGGCTGTGCAAGGAGGCACGCTAGGATTCGAAATGAACGTACAGCCGGAGAAGACGGTTTGGCCCACAGTCACCCGGGACGAGCTTCGAAGCTACCTCAAAGACCTGCAGAGACTGGACGGCCAACAATCTGAAGCCGAGGCATTTGCACAGGCCATCAAAGATCTGGACCGCCCTACCAAGCAGCAGATTAAGCGCGCAAAGAACTTCAAGATGGGCAGTGTTCATGAGCCGGCTTTTGGCAGAGGTTCACAACTCATGGTGAGAGGCGATGACGAGCTGCGTGTGTTGAAGGAAGGCAATGCAAAACTCGAGGACGAACTAAGAGGATACAAGAGCCGTGTCCGCCGTCTTGAAGACCTTGTACATCGCCAAAACACTGTCAGTAGACTCTCCATAGGTGGCGCGCCCCCGTCATTTAGCATCCCTGATCCGGGTGAACCCTCAACACCGACAGCACGCGTCGCCTCACCACGACCTCAAGAAGAAAACTCTAGACGCTCGTCAATTTCTTCGAGACGTCTCTCTGCAAATACAGGGCAAGAAGACAAGCGTCGTATTCTCCGCCTTGAACAGGAGCTTGCAGCAGAGAAGGATGCTCGTGCAAAGCTCGAGGCTGAAGCCCAGTCACGGAGGGACGAGGATGCTGACCAACAGCGCCGATTTGAAGAGGCAATGTCTACCAAAAACAACATTATGGAGAACATGCGAGCGCAACAGAGAGAATTCATCGAAGAGCGAAGATCGCTAGAGGACGAGATTCGAGCCTACAGGGCTAGGATTGAGGAGGCTGAAGACGAGTTGGATCGCGTTCTGGGGAGCCGCGATAACGAGCGCACCGGCATCGATGCCAGAGTACAGGATCTCGTTGCCGAGCTTGAGCAAACGCGCAAAGAAGCCATCGAACAAAAGACTCGCACAAACGAGCAGGTCGAGGCACTCCAAGCCAGAATCATTGAACTACAGGCTATCAAGACACAAGAACTTGGCTCACTGACGGCGGCCTTCAACCATCTCTCGCCTGGTACAGACGTACCTGATGACCACTCCACGCTTATTGCCCAGCTTGAGGATCTGGCTGTGCGGTCACTGAACCACCAGAAAGAGCTCGAACAGGCTGTGGCAATGGCCAAGTCAGACAACGAGAATGCTCATGCTAGGATTGAAGAGCAAGAGAACAAATTCAACACCAAGCTGGCCGAGCACGAGAAGGGAATGGCATCTGCCCAAGAAGAACTCGATGCAGAAAAGGCAAAGGTGGTTGCAATCACTAAAGAGCTCGAGGAAGAAAGGGGTCATTTGCATGACCTGCGTTCCAAGTTTGCCGAGGGCGAGACGGGCTCTGAAGCTCTGCGCAAGCGAGTGGAAGAGGAAGAGGCCAAGGTCGGTCGTCTCCAGACAGAGCTGGCTGAGAAGAGCTCCCACGCCAACAGTCTGGATGTCGAACTTATGCGTGCCGAGAAGAAGTTGCGCAAGCTGGAAGAGATGGATTCATCGCGCACTCACCAGCGTATAAACCGTGCAAAAGAGCTAAGTCAGCGTCTGTACACACAACACGAGCGCCTCATCCGCCTGCTCGAAGCATTGGGATTCGTCATCACACATGACAAGGGCGAGATGGTACTCCAGAGAGCGTCCAAGCTTGGCAACAGCACTGTCATGACCGACACCAGCGCAGGAATCAGTCGAAGCGTATCAACGCCCTCGCCCACTCCTCTCAAGCGCTTCCTGGAAGACATTGGCGATTTGCATTTCCTTCAATGGACAGAAGCGACCAGCCCCGAGGAAGAAGACCAGCGCTACCAGGAGCTGATATCCAAACTTGATCTCTTTAATATTGAGACGTTTAGCGACGCCGTGGCGAAGCGCATGCGGGACATGGAGCATACGGCACGAAAGTGGCAGAAGGAAGCCCGAGCGTACCGCGACAAGGCACATCGATTCCAGGCCGACTCGCACGACAAGATTGCATACCGCTCCTTCAAAGAAGGCGACCTCGCGCTGTTCCTACCAACTCGCAATAATGCCCATCGCCCTTGGGCTGCCTTCAATGTCGGAGCACCACACTACTTCCTTCGTGAACAAGATACGCATCGATTGGGAGGAAAAGAATGGCTTGTTGCGCGTATATCCAAAGTAGAGGAGCGCGTTGTCGACCTCTCCAAAACCCTGGATGGTGCGCCTCGGGCATCGTTGGACGATCGCTCCGTCGCTTCGAGCAACGCAGTGTCGTTTGAAGACGACAACCCCTTTGAGTTATCAGACGGATTACGCTGGTACTTGCTAGAAGCCACGGAAGAAAAGCCCATGGCACCAGGAACACCAGGCATCAAAGGTGCAGTCACCGTTAAGAGCAGTCTCGAAACCGGCCAAGGTGAAATGCAAAAGTCGAAGAAGAAGTCGGCAATGGACCCAGCCACCCAACTAGGCAAATCGCTCGACAGCAGGCGCAGCAGTGGCAACAGTAAGAAGAGTGCCCCACTAGTCGCCAGGAACAATTCAACAGAAGCACTCTCCCCCGGTGAGCGTGCAGACTCCAACCCCAACTCTGCAGCAGCAACACGGGGAGCAAGCCCAGCCGGTGGACATGGCCCCAGCCATTTGAGAGAGACGGAGACGAATGGAGCAGAAGTGAACAATGCAGCAGACGATGGACATGGAACCAATGTGCGCGACCTACTCTGGGGACCTTAGGTTTTCGATTCTTGTAAATCTAAGCTACACCCCAAAAGCCTTGTTTTGACGACGATGGCTAACAAACTGTACAGGTCTCCGTCTCTGCATACCAGTCTCCGCGCAAATCTTCTATGCCGACTCTATTGTCTAGTCTTCGATCCATGAATACTTCTCCTGTTAAGCAGAAATTTGGGAGCCAGGCTGACTTACGGGCTGCTGGGAGCCCAAGTGCCAGCGGCAGTGCGAATCAAAAGCGAGATCCGAATGCAAGGAAGAGCAGCATTTGGGACAGCATTTTCCAGTACGACATTGAGTATCAGGGAAAGGCGTCGAAGAAGTAACCAAGTCATGGTATGGTGCATGCATGCGCATACTTTGTGTATTCTATAACTCGGGTTAGCTGGGGTGTATGAACCTAGGGGGAGGCTATGGTTCAGGTCAATGTTCGAGTATGGGTCTATGTAGCAACATGGGGTATTCATGTATACCTATAGGCGGGAGTCATGGATGGAGGAGGAGCAGGAGGAGGAAGAAGGCATGACGTGGTGTGTCGTGCACAAGTTTCATTGAATTGTAAACATTTACTTTGTCGTAATGCTTGGTCATGATAATCATGGTGATGATGGTATTTCTACTGGTTATTTCTACCTTGTATTCTACAGTGCTTTCGCTCACTACCGCTATCAAAAGCATTCTTTGTAGTCGCACAAACATTCGTTCCTGTCTTCTTCTTCTTCTTCTTCTTCTTCTCTCTCTCTCTCTCTCTTTTTTTTAAAAAAAAATCTCTAGGTTTGCACTCTAGAAGACAGTCTTGGTGTATGTATTACCCACTCAACTACATACTTACCCACTCAACTGCTCATCCAGCACACCTATCTATTTCAAGCAAGCAAGCAAGAAAGAAAACAAACAAACAAACAAACAAACACATACAGTCCTAAGATTCGCTCTAGTTCTCTCTTGTCCTGCGCATCTCAGTCACCTTAGCATCTATGTATCATCTTGGTTCATTACATATCGGCATGGTTCATGATAGTCATGCCGATGAAATCGATCCAAAAGCCCAATTCAATTCAATTCAATCAATCAATCACTACAATTTAATCCCGCAATGACGTATCCCAACACCTTATCCATGTAGAAAACGAGTTGACAAGATTCTGATAGCTAGAAGGCAGAAAAAGGTGACATATGCTGTATGGGGGGGGGGCAGTTGAATAGTTTCTCTACATGTGTACCTGCACTTGTACCCAAGTATGTATGTATGTATGTATGAGTATACTGCCTGCCAATGTGAGTAAGTACAATGGTAACTTGGATATTAGTTGTGGGGATGGGAATGGGGGGGTTTTTTTTTTCTGGAATGTCGGCTCACGGCATGTCTCTCGATCGAACGATTGAGTAAGTGGGTAAGTGAGGCGGAGAAGCCGAGGTAGAGCTGTTTCTTTGGGCTGGATGTGGGTATGTGGGGGGGGGGGGGTACAGTAGTAGCAGTGGTGGTGGTGGCTGCAGGTCATACTAGGGTATTGGCAGTAAAACAGTGGTAGTGGTAGTGGTAGTGGTAGTAGTAGCAGTAGCAGTAGTGATATTGAACAGTGGCAAAACACAAAGCGGAAACTTCCGTATCACCGCCTCATTCTGACTTTCGCCGTTATACCGAATTAAAATTTTTTTTGAGGCTTCCTTTGGTTTTCCAAGTTTCCCTTGGTCCATGTACGTAGGGGCGTTTGTTGCAGTGATTTAAGTGGTTGTTGCGATAGTCCAGCTATGTAGCTAGCTGTAGTTAGCTGGACTTTGACTTGACTTGACTTGACTAGGTGTAGTGTGCAAGTAAGTACTGTAGAACTATGGACTTGTGTACATGCATGGAGAATAAGCGTACACAGTAGTAGTAGTATATCACGGAATAGTGGGTTCGCTGATATTCCCCGTCATGTCGTTGGGTTGTAGTACTATTACAGAGAGACAAACGCAACTGCACATTGTGAGATGTAAGTAGGGCGAAGGAAAAAGGAAAGAAAGAAAGAAAAAATGCAACGTCATGTCATGGCGGTATCCCCTTGGATGCACATGCACAGGGCCAAAAGAGATCTACACGGCCCAGACAATCAGCGGTTTCTCTTTTTTGTTTCTTTTGTCGCACGTGTGGGCTACAAGCGTGTTGGAGGAACGGTGCAAGGGCAAAAGAAAAACGTTTAAAAGAAAAAATGGAAAAAGGGAGAGGCAAAAGGGGGGAAAGGGGTCCGGACATGGAGATTGGTGGGTGGATTGTTGGGAAAGGTAAAAAAAAAAGCTTGCTTTGGGCATCTAGTGCTTGGTTGTTTGTGGTTGGCACGGGTGGAAGGTTTGTTTGTTGGGTTTGGTATGGTGACGAGTGGGACTATTGGATGGGGGGTGCGGTGTTATGGCTAGGTTTGGGGGTGAGCGAAGGGACGAGGAGAGCTGAGTGTTGTGACTGAGGTTGCATCGTGTAGGTGGGATTATTGACTGACTGACTAACTGGTTGACTAACTGACGGCCATGTAACAGGTTGATTGTATTGGGAAATTGTGGCATGTGGACGTGATTCGTGACATGACGAGCACAGCTACACATGTGTACAATTTGTGCAACAATTCCGAGTAACATGACATTCAACACAACACAACACAACACACGGCCATGCATGTGCAAATCAGCGTCGCACAGAACTAGCAAACAAGCCTTCTGGCCTTTGCACAGCTAACCGCCTCTTAGCAAGCTTATCGTCTGGTCTTTCGGGCGACTCTCGGCGACGCCCATTACTCATCCCTTGCACGCCAAACGCGCCCAGCGTTTCTTCTGTGTGCACATCATCTCGGTGAGAATAAGCAAGAAAACAAAGTTTCCTCACGCACACACCACCTTTGGAAACAAACTCTAGTAGTGCCCGGGCCGCGACCCACACGGCCAGCACGGATCATGATGGGCAAAAGGCACATTTAAAAAAAGAAGCAAGCAAAATCGATACAAGCAATGCCGATCATGTGCTTAGCAAGCTGGGCATGCTTGTTCGTGTTTCCGTTCCGCGCTTTTGGTGGTGCTCGTGCTGCGTGGCACCCGGCTTGGGTGGTGGTGGTGATGGCGAGATGGAAGGGGGGGGGGATGTGGCGTCCGTGGTTACATAGGGTAGTGATAGGTAGGGACATGTCGATCAAGATGGAACCTGTTGCATGTGCATGTGCGTGATGGGGCGCGCTCACTGCCTCATTCAGCCAGCCGACGAAAGGGGGGGGGAGGAAAAGACCCAAAAAGGAAAATCAAGCAACACAAAAAGAAGGAGACGGCGACGAAACATGGCAAGACAAGCAATACCCAGACGAGGTGAAGTTGCTTGGTACAGTAGCTTATCCTCTGACACATGGCTGTGCTCGCGACGGCGCAACTAGGGCGTATCCTTGCGCTCGCGCGCGCCGTCGACATGTGGGAGCCCTGCTACGATGAAACAGGGTAATATAATATAGCTACTAGAAGAAAAAAGGAAACAAGGCTATGCCGAGATATAGACTATAGCATGACTTGTTTGAAGTTTAGTGGCAGAAGAACAACAGAAGGGAAGGTAAAACGGAAAGCTTGGGTGTGAAGGATGATAAGAAACAGCTCAGCCACGCACGTGAATAAAGCCGTAGGTAGATTACACGGGGGACAAGAAACACTAGTGGAAGGAAACCTCTTACAAAGATGAAAAGCGCACAGCCAGAGTAGGTACCAAGTATTGCTACATACTACAGCTACTGCTGCTTGAGGTTGCCCCGCTCTCTCTCTCTGTCTCTCCCCTCCAAGCCGGTCATGACCTCGGACATGGCCGGGGATGCATGTGCGAGCCATTCTTTGGGCCGAAAGCTTATTCCACGCACCGACCAAGCGAGCTTCACATGCATGCTTGCGTGCTTCACACATACATACGTACATACGTACATTTGCCTTGGTCTGCCTCTGCACTGCCTGACTACCTACCTACTTTAGCTAGTAGTCTGTAGTATCACCCGCGCGATTTAAAGGGGGGGGGTTGCAGGACCCCACGACAGGCACTTGGGAGCGGCAGCGGGGTAAACCAGTGGCGAAACAGAGGGGGGGGGGCAGAGAGTCATGGAGTACCGAGGCCAAGAGAGAGAGAGAGAGCAGTACGTAGGAGAGAGAGAACAAGAAGGCAGAGAGAGATAGGCCAGGATAGGATAAACTTTATTCCTAGTCCTGGCCTATCATGTACGAGTCGCATCATGCGACTTTTTTGACACATGGACATGCTGCACACCTACGTAATGAGGGGGTGGCGGCCGTGAGTGAGTGAGTGAGTGACTAAGTAAGTGTGAATGTGTGTGCAAGCTAGTGTAAGTCTCTCGCTCTTGTTATTTTTTTTTCTGGGGGGGAGGAGATGCGAACATGTCGCACAAAGGACCAGGCACACAGACATGTAAGGGGGGAAGGGGGATATCGCTGTATGCCTGCACGCACGCATGCCTGTGTGTGTGTGTGTTAATAAGGAAGTGAGAAAAAAGTTCTAGACCTAGACGCTCCAAAAGAATTAGCAAAAGCAGAAGTAAAAAAAAAAGAGTTATCCGCGACAAGCGTACTTGGCGGTTTAATTATCCGTAAGTATTTACTACATGTTTGGCTGCCAAGCAACCAAGGAAAAGAGAGAGGACGGCACGTATAGTAGTGTATACATACACACACATATACAGCTACGCTTTACCAAGTCCTGTCCTTTTCCCCCCCTCCGCTGCAGCCGGAAACAGCAGCCAGCCAGCAAGCCAAAAAAAAATATGCGCCCAGTATGTATGTCTCGGGCGAAGACCGGGCGAAAGTGGTAGTTGGGGAGGGGGAGTAAAGGCAGCGCGCTGGGCGCGGCGCGCGCGCACACAGCGGGCTGGCGGAAAACATGGGAACTCTTTTTTTTTAAATTGTTATTATGATTATTACTCACTCGGATATGTCCGTACGTACAGGTTGCAGTAAGCCCAGGCAGGCAGGCAGGCAGCCCGCCCGCCCGCCAGCCGCGCTGAAACACACAAACACATACATACATACATAGACACATGGACAGATTCAGCCCTGGCTGCTTCACCACCACACCATGCATGTACGCACACATTCCTACATACATGCACACATGCATGTAGCCATCACTACACCTACAATCATGCTGCCCTCAACCCTCCAACCCCCCCGGTCACTCGTGCTCGCCCATCCGTCGTACATAGACACAACACACCCGCCCACAAGACCCGGGGGCTTGGCAATGACGCATACCAGGGGGTATGTCTAAGTGTTTTCTTGTATCGCCCTCTTTTTTTTTTGCCTGCCAACCCCCCCAGCCCATATGTACGTTTGTATGTGGGTAGGTAGTATTCTCATGTATGTAACACACACGCGGGCAAGCGCCCGAAAAAGAAACAAAGCAAGCAAGCAAGAACGCGGCAAGGGGTGGGTGCGGGCAGGACGCCCCCTCCGCTGCTAGTTACACATGGCACATACGGCGGCTTGCATGCAGGTGTGACTGGGCTCTCTCGATTTTTTTTTGGGAGGGTGAGGCGGGTGCATATCGATAGCGCCGTTGCCGTGGGTTTATTTGTGCCGTGCAAGGAGCGGAGGCAGCGAGCGGCAGATGATGCTGATGATGATGATGCTGATGGTGCTGATGATGATGATGATGCTACCTACCACTGCCACTGATGATGAGCGATGCGATGACGCGTCCGTGCAGAGTGCGAATAGGGGAGAGCCAGTCAGTTAGTCACCCAGTCCTATCTCTGGAATTGGGGGGGGGGTGTTTCAGTCTAGAATAGCATCGAAACAAACGGGGATGACGGGGTCGAGGGTATGTATTGGTATTGGTATTGGTATTGCCTCTCTTTTTTTGTCTCTTCCACTTGTGGTCGGCGGGATTGGCTGCAGCGTGTGTTGGCTTGTGGGCTGATAGGCTGATCAGCTGGGCGTACACTTATGTGTGAGGGGCGAGGGGCGAGGGGCAGCTGTGGCACAGACAGGCAGCATCCACGTCCAAAAAGTGGCGCTGCCCATCACCACACTGTGGCTGGGCCATGACCACAAAGATTCGTCAGCTAGAGCAACGGCCCGGCGGGCGTCCCGGCTGTTGTGCGTCTGGTGGGACGACTGGAATTGTCGTATGCTGCACATTATCACTCCTCAGCCCTTTTGCTTGTTTTTCGCGTCTTGGCTGTGCCCATGTGCACACCGCGTCATGGCACACCCCTCCCCTCCCCTCCCCCTGGTGCCGCGCTTGCACATCTTCTACTCTTTCTTCCTCGTTCCGGTGTCTATGGGGATTTTTTTCTCTCTCGGCGATAACACCTTGTGGATCTCGCTCTCTCGTTTTTCACTGTGCTCCGCGTGTAGCGGTCAGGCAAACAAGAAAAAAAAGCGTGCGCCACATGTCAATATACGGTGTGGGAAGGTTTAGTCAAGGCACGTCGCATGCACGTAAGGATTGGGTAGCGCAGGTAGCAGGTGGGTGTCGACGAAAACAACATGTAATTGGTAACAAAACAAGCTAGCTTCTGGAACAATCTCCACAAGGTCATTTCGTGCGATTCGTGAAGATGCGTAGACGGGAGCGACAAGCGAAAAGAATAAGCGAAGAACGAACGGCGACGGGGCGCCTGCGCGCTCAAGCACAAGCACAAGCCTGAGCGGCGCGCACAACCGTTTTGACCCTCGCCCATGTGCTTTTGGCTGCATCGCAGCCCAACGCCAAGCCAAATCTCATAAACAATCCCAGAACAAGGAGCAAGCCACTTTGCAGGCGGCAAACGCCCTCGTCGTAGACGGCGCCCCATTCCACCCTCCCAAAATGCCCTCCCTGTCTTTTCCCGTATAAACGCCGCGGCCGAAATGAGAGGCCCCATGTACCCGTGGTGGTTGCATACCAACCCAAGACAAAAATAAAAACACAAGAGTGGGTATCCGAAGTAGAGAGTAGACGAGAGTTGAGAGATGAGAAAGCAAACGAGAAAAAAAAAAAGAGGCGCTAAAACAGGTTGCCAAGGGAAAGGGCTCGTGGTAGTCGATGCAGGCCAAGAGTCTGTGTGCTTCGGGTACGCGCGGTGAGCTGAGTCGTATGGCTGGGCAACGGGGGAGGGGGGAGCTGTGGCTAAGCACCATGATATGCGCACGTGATTGTGCTATCGTAATGCCCGAGGCTAAGGAAGTCGTCGCCCATGTGGATCCAGCGGAGAGGTACTTGTCAGCCACGGTCTAGAACAGCGTGGCTTGACCATGGCCAGCGCGCTCCAGAACTACCAAGAGAAGAGAAGTGGGCTAGCCAACGTGGCAGGGGAATGCACACAATGATGGTGGTGGTGGTGGTGGTGGTGGTGGTGGTGATGGTGATGATGATGAATCATCTGAAGATGGTTGAGATGCGGCGCCTGGTTCGCTGGCGCACGCGCGAGAGCATGTTGGCCTTGAGTGGCGCCAAGCCAGCTGGCATCGAGACAGAGGGGTGTCGCACGCTGGCATAGTCGCTGACAGAAGTGTCGCTGGGACTTCCGCCCGGGCTGCTCTCGTTGTCGTCGTCGCGCACGGCAGGGTAGGGTGACTCGGGCGAGGGGAAGAAGTAGGCGTCGAGGCGCGAGTTCATGGCCCGGTTCTTCTCGGATGCTGCTGTGACCAGACTGCTCTTGCTGCCCACGCTCGTGGCGCTGTCGGTGCGGGTGATGTTGTCCAGGCGGATGTCGCGGCGCGCGGCGTTCAATGAGGTCGAGTGTGCGCGCGCAAGGCCTGAGAGGGATCCGACCGGAGGTGCTGGGCCGTCGCCAATGAGCTTGTACTCGAACTCGGAAACGTGGCCGTGGCAGTAGGGGCAGTGGTCGCACTTGACCTCCCAGCCCGAGATTCCCAGCTTCTTACCGCATGTGGAGAGGTTGCTGGAGGGAGTGCATGGGCGGACGAGATGGTACCAGCGGTGCTGGCACGGAAGAACCGTGACGCAGAGTTCGGCGACGCACATGGTGTGTTTAGACGGCCGACGTGTGGTGTCGAGGTGAGGTTGTGGTGGAAGCCCGAGGGTTCAGCTGGGCTGATGGGGCAGGCGGCGGTCACAAGACCAAGACGGGTGGCAATCTGGGGTGGACACTAGTGGGCAGTAGTGGACGGGCTATGATGTGGTGGTTCCTGTGCAGACGGGCAGGCCGAGGCACACTGTGTGTGTATGTGTGGTGGTGGTGAGAGGTAGTGGTAGGTGGGTGTGAGTGGGATGCCTAGACAGGCGGCGGGGCCAAAGTTATACAAGTAGGTGCCGAGAGGAGTCGAGGGCGGTGGAGATTGAGGTAATGCTGCGTGCCAAGGCGTGGCAGCTGATAGGCCGAGCGACAGACAACGACCCTGGCTGGCGTATAAAGGTTAGGTGAGATGAGCGGGGCACGGTATACGCGGCGGAAATTGGGGCGGATAAGTGCTAAGCCGAGGGCAGGATGGTAAGACGGTAGGACAGGTACGGCGAAGCAGACACACACACACAGGCCAGCGTTCGGGGCGTCGAGGATGACGAGTGGAGCCGGGCTCGGCGGATTGCGAGGCTTGTCTTACGCTCAATGGACGAGGGGCAGGCGCCGGGAGTTGAGTCAGGCGGGGGTCGGGCTCACGGCGTCAGTAGGAGGGGAGGATTGATGCTGGAGCAGGTCGCGGGTGAGGTCAGCATGTGTGTGTGGATGGATGGATGGATGGATGGATGGATGAGGGCGGGCGTGGTGTGAGCGTGTGCGCGTGTGCGAGTGCCTCTGTGTGAAACGGCGTGGGCAGCCAACACAGGCAGCGAGCGCATCCATCGTTATTTAAAACCACTCCGCTGGGCAGCGGAGCGGGCCAAAGTTTGGACAGGGGGGCGGCGAGTTTCCAAGTTGATGCCAGGTGGTGGTGGAGGACGAGAGGGTGGTGGTGACAGGTTGCCCCTCCGCCCTGGTCGGTCGCGGCGCCGGGACGACGCACGCGGTGTGCACGCTAACGGCGCACCAGCAGTTGGGCCAAGTCGATCCGTGCCAGAATGCTGGATTTGCGCGCCCTCTCTCTGGCGGACGAACATGTTAATCAGAGGTACACGTCTCACCGCTCTCAGATAGCGCCCTGCCCCGTCCGCTGCTGGGGAATCCAAAGCAAAAAGCCTCCATTGTCGGCCACCATGGCAGCGCTACTGGCACCAGGCGCCCGTGTCTCAGCTGCAGCCCCCCTCCACACCCACCCCCGTCCTTCTTTTCCCACCCACATCCTTGGCCTGACACGGCGCCGCCCACACGGTTGCTCTGCTGCTGCTGCTGCTGCTATTCCGACGCCTACTCTGATTCCTGCTACTACTACCTGTACGCTACTAATACGACGACTAGGAGCACTATGACTAGCACCGCGGCTAGCTCCACGCCTACATACGACTACCCAAGGGCCTTACTCAATCCATAGCTCTGCGAGGCCACGGCGTGCTGCAGCTATCGGCGCCGGTAGCGAGCGGAACACCCCCCTCCAAGTCAGTTTGCTGATCCACCACATGTCAGGCATGCCCGGCAATTCCACAGCTGCCCACAATCCGTGTCATGCCTTGTCTCTGCCACCATGGTCACCTTGGACGGCCAACACCATCATCAGACGCTCTCGCCATGCCCTCGCGCACTGCTCGCGCACGAGGGCGCCCCTGCCTGGCAGCGCCCAGCCGGTTGCAGAGGGCGACAGGCACGGCACCGCGGGATGCGACCATGGGGAGGGCCATGATGGCTGTTCCCGCGTGTAACAAGGACGTCAATTTGTGGCGCACTGCCAGATTGCCATTCCCATTGTCTCTGGCGTGGGTGTGCGCCTGTTTGACGACAGGATGCGCCTACACCTAGGCATGCACCTCTCCGGCAGGTCAGGCTGTGTCATGGGCCACGCCGCAAGACGCATGGCGGCGCTGCATACGAGCAGGCTTGCCGATGGGTGGCAGCAATCAGATAACTCCCCGAATGCAGCAGGATAGCCGTTGCACAGACGGCGCACGCATCATTTCAGCCCTGTGGCAGAGGCACGCCCCTTTCTCCATCTAAGTACTATAGCCTACTGTGCTCGAGATTGCCTGCGCCCACACCACGGCCAGGCCCAATTTGCTTACTTGCTTCAGGCACACACACACAGGCTGGCGGGGGACGCAGGGAGGCATGGACGGGCGTGGTGCGCAACGGCGGCGGCCCAACAGCAAGCCGCCCATGGCCATGGCCGTGTCTATGCTGCCGATGGCCGTGTCTATGCTGCCCATGCCCATGCCCATGCCCGTCGTCGGATTGCGAAATGGGCCAGGGTCCCGTGACACGAGGCAACTCCTGCGCCTGCGCCTGCGCCTGCTCGCTCCTCTCGTCCTAATCGGCCCACATGCACAGCCTCTACGCCTTTCATGCAGCTGCAGCCCCTCGCCATTCGCTCCGCTCCTCTCACGCGTCTCTCACGCTGCTTGGCGCCGCCCTACCCTCTTAGCCCCGCCTTGGCACGCCCTCGCTGATAGCCCGCGTCACAACCACCACCACCACCACCACAACCCCGCTTTGCAACAACACCACGCCACGCGCCAATCACGCCCCACGCTCCCACTCCCCCACCGCGACCCGGAGCCGCCAGCGCATCAACCGCCGCCCTCGCCCTCTCGCAAACTCGTCCTTGTCCCCGACTCCCTCAACGAGGCATTTGTCCGCCCACCCACCTCACCGCCCACCCCCGACTGCCCAGACTGTCGTGTAACTCTCCCAAGCCTCAGCAACACCGCGCTGGTTCCAACCCGCCGGTAACAACACACTCCAAGCTTCACATGTCATGGCTGTGTACCAGCCCTTTCTCCACCACCCACGCTCATCCGAATCGAGTCGTCATCATCACCACCATCACCACCACCTCTCCTCTCCCTGTTCCCATGAATCGGCCATGTGAGAGCTTGCACGTCAAGCATGGTCAAGAATGACACCGTCGCTCAAGAGAAAAAGCTTGGCGCATCCTGCACCCAGCCTTATGTCAAAGATGCATCTGCATCTGACTCGGCGCTTACCAGCAACTACACAAACCCCGAGGCTGACCATCGCATACACTCGGCACCTGCTGAGATGTGACAGCTGCCCGTGCCCTGTTGGGGGCCATGTGAGATACGCAGAGTCCATCATCACATACTAAATGCCGGCGTAAACCTACCATCAAAAGCAACCAGTGTTTTCGTTCTAGAACCTCTCCAACAATTACATCACACCGTCACCCGCATTGATATCCGGTGAGATATTGGCGTGTGTGGTGTACACCTTACTTCGCTCCAAATAGGTGTAACTGTAGAGCCGTCGCCCTTCACAAAGGCAAAGTATGTCTCGTCTTTTTCCGGCTCCCCAGTTATTTCAAATCCCCGCTCCCACCCGGGAATAGCAAGCCATGTCTTGGCCACGTTCCACTACCATCCTTAGCACTCCTAGTGCGGGTACGGTTGAACGCTGAATATGACGGGCGAATGAAACTCGCCAACTCCAGCCCCGTGCTCGCCTATGGTCTCGCTAAAGCTTTACCGCCAATTTGGTCTTTTGGGTTTGCTTCATTGTTGCTCTTATACCAATCTGGTAAGAGACAAGTCATGCCGTCGTCGTGGTAGTTGAGGGGAAAAACATCATGCCCCTTGGAGAGGATCATCATGGCAAACCTGCTCACATTATATGCCTCTTGTCAGGTGTTACAGCAAGAGCGCCAGAGCCACAATAGCCCCAAACACGGATGCTAACGTAGCTCTACCACAAAGTCCAAATTTCCTCTCGGCACCTGAGGCTTCCTGCTGCTCATCCCCGCATCTTGCTCTCCAAATGCCTCGTCCAGCACTGCCTTTGCCTTCCTTGGCATCTTACTGCCCTCTTGCTCACGCCCAGACTTCAAGCATATAACCTCTGCACGCAGACTCCTCCATGTCAAACGATTTGCCCCTTCGATCTTGGCGAAAAAAAGTCAAGATACTCACAGTTGGGAAATTGGGTGCAACGTCATAGCCGACAGTAGTTGGAACCTTGGTGCCGTAGCTACCACTACTGCTCAAGTCCAAGCCCCGCATGTTGATCTGTAGCATTCCGGAGATACGGTTCACTGGTCGAATCACCTATCCAGTACTGTAATTGATCCGAGAAGGTACTGTTCAGGGGCGCAGCCTCTATCATCCGACTTTTATCAGTGTACTCTGCACAACATGGAGCAAGGGAGAAAGCAAACAAGAACCAAGAGATATGCACATACGCAGATTCGTCAGCTACACCCTCAACAAGCCTTCACATTCGTCAGGCACATCCATCTGCATTCCCCCGCATCTCCTGGTAACCAACCACTCGGCAGCCGCCTCATCCGATACTGTTGCCTAAGCGCATTCACATTCACACACTCGCCCCTCAGCATTGTCTTACAATCCCCCTTGTCATCTGCAGCTCTCTCTCCAGCGCTTCCCGCGTAAACGCAAGCCCATCTGTACTGCCATTCTGCCACAGCATATAACCATGACACATGCCCAGGAGCCCGCCCAACCGCTGCATATCCGTGCCGCCCGTCGCAAGCCACACAGCCACCTGCATGTCTTTACGGCATCTAGACTGCCGTCTTGTGCATCCCAGGCCTAGATCCAAGACGACACGTGCCACGTACGTGTATTGCCTATGTCTTCATCAATCACCACTCGGCTGTCGTTGCCGTTGCCGTTGCCTCCGCCAAGGAACACGACATTTAGCGCCGGCATATTCATGGTTGCTGTGGCGTTTGGAGACACGTAGTCTGAGACGTCGTCATAGGTTACCGTTGGCTGTGGCGCTGCATCATACGGCTGCTGTTGTGCTAGGCAGGTCTTTGTGGTGGCGAGTAGTATCAGCGGTAAAGAAGGGAGGAGGTTGAGAATCGTGCCAGAGTCATGATGGATGTATTGCTGTATCAAAGAAGAAGAGGAATGTATTTCAAGAGAATACGCTATATGGATCTATACGAATACATGTATGTATGTATGTATGTAGTTACCAACATACACTTACCTCGTCCATCTAATATCCACTTTCCCATGTAGATCTTCCATGTCAATCCTACAATTCCGCAACTCGATCTCTCTCCATCTCAGGCCTGCAACCCAGTATTCCTTCCTCTCTCGATTCCTTCTCTCCCTCCTTCCTTTTCCGGGAACATCAATCACTCCACATCAACGACTTGACCACAAACCCCACCCCGGGCGTACAAAAAAAACCTCCCAAGACAAGACAAGGCAAGGGAAGGCGAGAAAATGAAAATCATACGATATACAACAGTTGCCTTGTCGCCTACACGCAACCCACTCGAATTCGAATCCAATCCAGTCCAATCTAGCCATTCAGCATCCCCCCACCCCGCTATCTCATCTCATCTCATCTCATCTTCATCTTCATCTTTCATCCCAGTAATCGGTAATTTAACGCCACTCACTCCACTTCCCTACTCAACCCACTCACCTACTTCCCTACCTGGATAACCCTAGCCCCCCTAACTATCCTACACCTCCACCTCCCCAGCCCAGCCGCATCCCACGGAAAACTCGGCAGGCACAAAAAAACAAACACCCACCCCCCCCTCCCCTTATGTGGCTCAGCTAGCGGTGCCGGGTTTACCGTAGGAAGGACGAGGAGGGGGGGGGGAAGCTGAGCCTATTATTAGTTAGGTGTTTAGTTTAGACTAGATCTAAGTTGTGCTTGGTATATCATCACATTGGCTTTGGCACTTTCACTTTGTAAGTTAAGTAAGACCTTTGCGTACATACATGCATGCATGCATGCATATACGCCCGCACCTACATTCCTACATACCTGCATCCATACACATGCATGCATGCATACCATGTCCTGTGTCGTCATGCCGTGACATGCTCGTGTACCGCGTATGGATTCATCTCGGTAGATAACGTAGTATTAGCTTGGGGCTTGGGGGGGGGGACTCGGTGTGGTATAGTGGAGTGCAGGGCTGGGCGCGTTTGTGGCTGTGCTGGGCTGGGCTGAGCCATGGCGGGTCCGGTGTGTATGGGTATATATGTATGCAATGGCTATAACGGCATTGTTGACGGAAGAACTTGCTCTCTGCATGACCACATACACACATGGTGAGAGAAAGCGGGACTAACGGGTGTGTGGGTTGGAAGGGGGGGGGACAAGCCGAAGCCATCGTGGTTTACCGCTGCGCAATACGTCATATCAGGTACAGTGGCGTCCAAGAGGTCTTTCTCAACATGTCACTTGCAAGGACACCCTCATTGATTCCTTGCGCAAATTCATTTTTTCTTTTGCTAAACGTCGGCGCATTCGCCTTTTACAATTAGTGCAGCAGTCTCAAGACCTTGACTAGATCCGCCGTGACGCCCATGGCCGTAACCTCCCCGCCAGCGCCTGCACCTTGGATGATGAGTGGGTTGTCGCCATACCGCTTAGTGTAGAAAGCAATAATGTTGTCGCTACCCTTCAGTGCTGCAATGGGGTGGCTCTTGTCAAACTTCTCAAGGCCAACCTTGACCTTGTTGCTCGGCACGTCGACACTTCCGACGAAGCGGACAACCTTGCCCTCTTTCTCTGCCTCTGCCTTTAGGCTATCCATCTGGTCGTCGTATTGTGGCAGCTTCTCGAGAAATTCATCGCCAGAAGAGCAAGACTCGAGCTCTTTGGGAATAAGCGACTGGACAGGGAAGGAAGTTGGCGATTCCACTTTGAGGCCGGCAAGACGGGCGAGAATGGTGAGCTTGCGTGCGACGTCCAGACCGTTCAGGTCGTCACGTGCGTCTGGTTCTGTGTAGCCCTTCTCCTTTGCAGACTTGACTTCTGCGGAGAACTTGCCGCCACCGCCGCCGAGGGGCTGGAAAGAGTTGAAGAGGAAGCTCATGGTTCCACTAAAAACACCTTCAATCTTTGTGACTTGGTCGCCAGTCTCAACGAGATCCTTCAGTGTGGAGATGACGGGCAGTCCTGCACCGACCGATGACTCGTGGAAGACGTAGCCTCCAGCGCCGTTGCCGTTGCTCGCAGCATCAAAGATTTGCGTCCACAAGTCATAGCTTCCGGAGAAAGCCTTCTTGTTTGGTGTCACAATGCTGATGCCCTTCTTCAAGAAGGCGGGATAGCTGTCGGCAACATCCTGGTTGCTAGTGTTGTCCACTAGGACTACCTTTCCAGGCGCCTTTTGCAGGTATTCACAAAGCTGTGGGAGGGGCAGAGTAGGACTGGATGTGTTTTGAAGTTCCGACTCCCAGTTGGAGAGAGACCTGTAGTCGGCATGGTAAACGGCCTTCTTGGAGGTGCTGAGCCAGATCAAAGAGAGGTAGTAAGGCGACGAGGGTGACTGAGAAAGGCGCTTGGAGAGAGCGGAGAGCTGGGAGAGGAAGGCCTTGCCTACACCACCAGCGCCTGTGGCTGTTAGTGATACACGTCCGATCATAGGGATTGCATCAGCTTACCGACAACGGCGATGAAGACTTGACGAGGAAGAGGCATTGTGTGGTTGATATGAATTGATTGTACGGGGGAAGTAAAGCAGAGTCAACGTATATAGGCTCTCCTCAAGTGTCCAGAAAAGAAGTCAGTCAGCAGTTGCGGAACCGCCAATTCGATATGTCGACGTGGGGTTGCTGCAAAACAATGAGTGGGGTAGCAAGTGACGCAACTGGCTCGGAGCTGTGGCGTCGACGCCGACATCGCCTCAGCCCGGCGTGCGGCGCGCTCACCTACGCGACCGCCAGGCCGGGAGCATCTTGACCTGACCTGCCCTCCAACACCACACATGTCCTCCAAAGACGCCCATCTGTACGGCGCCCGCCCAAAGGGACGCGCCAAGGCAAAAGAAATATCCAGCTCCAGCAGCCTCGCCTTCTCATCCACGCTCTCTAATCTCATCAAGAACTCGTCTGCCGAGGCAAGCAAGCCCACCGCAGGCCGCGCGCGATCACAGAAGGAGGATATTTTCAAGACGCACAACAAGAATGTCAACAAGCGCGCACTCAAGGACCTAGAAGACACCGACTTTACGCAAAAGCACCGCGGACGGACGGCCGAAGAAAAGGGTGAAGATGAAGTCGCCTGGAAGCGTACAAAGCGGCGCATGGAGGAAAAGGCACGCCTCTACGATGCACTCAAGCGCGGCGATGTCGAGGACCTGGACGACAAGTATGGCGTAGATTTTGACCGGAAATGGGCAGAGAGGCAAGAAAAGGGCGAGGCCGAGTCGGCCGAATCGTCAGAATCAGAAGCCTCAGAAGAAGAGCTGGTGGAATACACGGATGAGTTTGGCCGCACGCGAAAGGGCACCCGCGCTGAAGCCGCCCGCGAAGAGCGTCGGAAGCGCACTCTGGCTGCCGACGAGCCCGATCGCTTCTCTGCCCGCCCCAGCATGCCCACCAACCTGATTTACGGGGATACCGTGCAGACACAAGCCTTCAACCCTGACGAGACAATTGCTCAGCAAATGGCAGAACTAGCCGCAAAGCGCGACAAAGAACTCACCCCACCCCCCGACCTGCATTTTGACGGTAGAGCCGAGGTGAGACAGCGCGGAATGGGCTTCTTTAACTTCTCCAAGGATGAGGACGAGAGACGGGAGCAGATGAGCAGGATTGAAAAGGAACGACAAGAAACGGAGCGGGTGAGGAAAGAGAGAAAGGAGCAGATTCAGAAGCGCAAGGAGATGATTCGTGCAAAGAAGAGGGCTATACAGGAAAAGAGAAGCAAGGGTCAGGCTGAGAGGTTTTTGGATCAACTGGGCGCGGAGTTGTTTAAAGATGGAGGTAGTGATGTGAAGGAGGGCAAAGAGGAGGGTGAGAAGTCAGGAAGCACCGCGTGAGTCGAGATTTCTTGTGTTTTGCATCATGATACCCAATGACCAATCCATCATCTCATCATTCGTTGGTGCTGCTTTCTGTGTTATCAACATGACCAAGATAGGACGTGAGCGTCACATTCTATCCGCACTCCAACCCAGATGAAGTGCTCTCGCGCATAAGGATACCCCTACAGACGAGAAGCTATGCAGTCATGCTACACGTGATGTGGTGATTGTAGTGAGATGATGCAGATAATAGCTAAAGGATCATGGATCCTTGACCTGCTCACATCTTGATATCAAAACTCGTCCCACAACCACAACTGCTTGTTGCCCCCGGTATGCCCGTAATCTTGAACTGACTCCCTATCAGCTCCATTGTATAATCAACTGTGCTCCCATTCAGCAGCTCCAAACTCGGCTCGTCGATAACAACCTTCTCGCCTTTCTCTCCTTCAAATACGGTATCTTCCTCGGTAGGTGGGTTCTTTGATAGGTCGGTCAGGTCCATGAGGTATTGGAAGCCATGGCATCCGCCGCTCTCAATAGTCACGCGCAGCGCAAGGTTCGGGTTGTTGTCGCCTGTGGAAATTTTGTATAGGCGATTTGATGCACGTGGTGCTATCGAAATCAGCATTGGGTTGCCCGAGTCGTCGGTTCGTGGGTTCTGGATCACGTTTGCGGGTTTTGCGGTTGAGGGATCGGAGGACGTGGCAAGGGCTCTTCGTGGTATGCTTGGTCCTTGAGCAAATGCTGACATTTGTGCTGGTATATGCCCCAAGGGTTTCCGCGGTAAGGTAGACGGCGCAAGGAAGTCAAAGTATAGCGACTGCGAGGTGGCGCGCCAGGCGACCCTGCTATGCGTCCTCACAGACTGCGATGCGACTCTGGAGGGTGCAGCCGCTTTCTCTATGGCAGCTCTCCTCATCGCACGCCAGCACGAAGCGCACATGGTGGATGCCGATGCCATTGTCGCGATATCGAATAGTCGAGGATGGTGTCGGAGGTGGAGGAATCTACTACAATCTGAGGTCATAGCTAGGCATGTCGCAAGCCACAGCACCAATCAGCGTTGGCCATCGCCACAAGGCCTAGACTGCTTAGTCAGCACACACCCCACGTTGGGCGGCCGCCACCATTCCATCGTGAGCCACCGGGCTGTTATTACAGCCCTACCCGCCCGAGCTATCTACTTATCGCGCCTTAGACCCGAATGCATACGCGAAAACTACTTTCCCATCCGTAACCTCTGCACCGCGCCGTGGTCTTTCAGGGCCCTGACTCTGTCTTTCAATCGCCGCGACAATGCCTTACCTACACAACCCTTATCTAGCGATACCGGAGGCCAAACTTTGCGCCGAGCAATTTTCGCAGCGGGAAGACGCGAAAGACGGGTTGAGCAAGCTGAGGAGCGAGTTCGTCATACCGACCAAGGGCGACCTAAAGGCTCGGAAGTATGGATTTCAGCACAAGGAAAAACGCGCCACTGCGCAATCGCAAGACGACGAGGAATCGATATACTTCTGCGGCAATTCGCTTGGGCTCCAACCGCGGAGAACAAAGGAGTACATCAATCGCTACCTTGACACATGGGCGTCCAAAGGCGTCTTCGGCCATTTCACCAATTATGAAGGAGGCCTTCCACCGTGGCTACACATTGACGATGCAGTGAAGAACCAGACGGCCAAAATTGTCGGGGCGCTTCCTAACGAAGTCGTCATCATGGAGACATTGACTGCAAACTTGCATCTTCTGATGGCGAGCTTTTACCGTCCGACAAAAGACAGGTGGAAGATCATCATTGAGGGCAAGGCGTTTCCTAGCGACCATGCATGCTGCCCCGCCCCACCTTACTCTGATGTATTGACTGACCATATGATAGTATGCTGCGCTCTCCCAGATCGCACACCACAATCTCGATCCTTCCGCTCTCATCACCATCGACCCGCCGTCAGCCTCGGCGCCCTACCTCTCGAGCGAACACATCCTGTCTGTAATTTCACACCACGCCCCCAGTACGGCTCTTGTCCTTTTGCCTGGCATACAATTCTACTCGGGCCAGTTCTTCGACATTGAGTTGATAACGCGTCACTGCCGGTCGCTGGGTATAACAGTGGGCTGGGATTTGGCCCATGCAGTAGGGAATGTACCGTTGAAGCTGCATGACTGGAACGTGGACTTCGCGGCGTGGTGCAACTACAAATACATGAATGGTGGTCCAGGAGTCATTGGCGGGGCCTTCGTTCATGAAAGTCACGGCAAGGTAGAGCAGGTGCCCACAAATCAGACCAACGGTACAGGCAGCTCGTCAAACAGGGACACAAGCCTCTCGTATCGCCCGCGCTTAAGCGGCTGGTGGGGCAGTGACAAGAACAGCAGATTCCGCATGGACAATAAATTCGTTCCCATTCCTGGCGCCAGCGGCTTCCAACTCAGCAACCCAAGCGCACTCGACATGACATCGGTAATGGCAAGTTTAGATGTCTTTGCGCTGACCGACATGGAAGCCCTGCGACAGCGCAGTCTCAACTTGACTGCATATCTCGAGGCTCGCCTTCTCAAATACCCAAATGGCGAACCACCTTACAAGATCATCACACCACCGAACCCAGCCGAGCGGGGCGCACAGCTCAGCATTCTTCTGAAGCCCGGCTTGTTGGACCAAGTGCTGCATTACATCGAAGAACGTGGCGTGGTGGTGGATGAGCGCAAGCCTGATGTGCTTAGAATCGCACCAGCACCTTTGTACAACTCTTTCCGCGACATCCATCGCTTCATCAACATTTTCCACGAGGCATGTCGCATCGCTACAAGGGGCGCAGGGGACAAGAGGCCGCACAACAATGCGGTTCCGAAAGGCATTGCAGCAATATGAGCTGGGTAGACCTTCTCGGGGGAACATCTGTTCGATTCTTGGTATCTGGTAGTTGTCTGCCCATTGAGCAGCATAATTTCTAATTTCAGGCCCAAAAGTACGCATATATATATACCCAAAGCAACAAGGCAAACAAATAATAAAAATATCGTTGTAAAATTTATTCTTCTGAGAAAGCGCAATACTAAACAACAAAGCGCCATCGTAATGTGACAAAATCCTGCTGTTTGCAGTCCGTACCCCTGAGATGCTTATCCAACGCCTATTGGTATCTTTGTATGCACCAACCCCGTTTCTTATGCCTTGAGTGCGAAAGAAAAGAGACTATCCATCTGCACCCACTGCCGTCCATTCTTTTCCAACCACCTCTCCACCACGCTCTTCAACGTGTCAAATCTCTCCCTATTGACTTCAGCCAACACTTTCATCTTCTCTCTTCGCTCCATATCCTCCGCCTTGATACCGCCGTCCGTCTTGCCAACACGATCAACATCAAACAAAGACTGATAGTAGAGAAGCTGGTTCCATACATCGCGTTCTTTGATCTCGTAGCTCATCTTGCCCAAGCAGTCGCGGGCAAGTCCCTTGGGTCCTAAACAGCGGTGGCCGTAGACGGAAATGCTGCGCGTACGGTTGGAGCACTGTGGGTCGTCGCATAGAACATAGCCCGCATAGTATGAGGCGACAACTTGTCGGATTGCCGACTCTAGTTGTGCTACTACGCTGATGTTTTGCAGTGTCACACCGCAACCTTCTGCAGGACATTGAATACCGGTGTGCGAGATGGTTTGCAACGACGTCGCAGTGGGTGAAGTTGAGGAGAGACCTTGGAAGGGGAAGACAGTCGCACAGGCTCGGCAGCGTAGCCAAAGCGGCGAGCAGGATTGGAAGCGCACAGAGTCCGGGATCTGTGACTCCAGAGGGTGGATCTCGGTGTCTTGTTGCGCGCCGCCAGAGACTGTGCTGACACGATACTTGGAGGTATCAAGTCCGAGACAGGCGGCAAGGAGCGTAATGTTTGTTCCGCTGATAGGAGCACAAAGACGCTCCACTGGTGGTAGAATCTGTTTGTGGAGGTAGTAGTCGATATCCGGCTTCAGTCCGCTGTCAGGTTTGAGGACCTCGTCCACCGGGTAGGCATTTTTGGCTGCATTCTCAGCGGATCCAGATGACTCTCCAGTTATGATAAAGCTCATAACGTCCTTTGCTTTGACGTGCTTTCCTTTAGCCATGAGGCGTAGAGCGACTTGGACCGAGGGCATGGAGTTGCCGTTGGGGTATTCCTTCGGGTTCTTTCCAAGCTGAGTGTAAATGGTGTACTTTCGAGCCGGAATGGCGTATTCGCGCATTTGCTTGCTGAGTTCGCGGAGGTGATTGTGAATCTTCTCGACAACGACTTCCGGGTCTTCACCACTGAGAAGGAAGTTGAGTAGTTCCCTATGGTGCTGTTAGTAACGTATGATAAATATGACTGAGTTGTAAAACATACGTAGAGGTCTCCTTGGAGAGGGCGCAGTATTCTCTGCGCCTCATGTCGAGACCCTTGACTTCCAGCTTTTCAATGTACTTGCCGTCAACTGCCACCATGTTGATAGCAGCATACTTCTTCTTGGCGTGCAGCAAGATGCGTCGGAATATGTTGTCGATATCAATCTCCAACAACCTGTAACTGTCGTTGACTTCTTTCTTGAACTCATTACCCAGTTTGACTGCGTCCTGAATGTTGTCGACATTTGTATTGATCATGACAGAGTCGGTATCACCGTAGATGACACGAAGTGCCTTCTCCTCAGCCATGTCCTTGGTCTTGCGCAAAATCTCTCGACCCTTGTATGTTGTGAGCATAGCGAGCGGGCGAGCGTAGAAACGAGATTTGGTGTATCCCAAACATCCGTACATGGAGTTGGCAGTGAGCTTGAGAGCCATTTGCTTGATCTCCCAGGTGGCCAGTTGATCCGGAGTAGCATCTTTGGACTTCATGAGCTTCTTCACCTCCCTACGTCGAGAGACAAGTGTGGCAATAAGGCGTGGTAGAATACCCTGCTCTTGGTCGGTAGGGACTTCGGGTACCTTGTCATCATCTTCGGAGATATCAGATCGCTCGACTGTCGTAAAGCAGATGTTGTACTCCTGGATGATACTGGGATAAAGGGAGTTGAAGTCCATGACCAGGATGAACTTGTCGTAAAGGCCCTTTTCGGGCTCAAAAACGAGACCACCCTTGTACTTGTCTTTCTTCTTGGCGTCTGCTCCTTCCTCTCCCTCTGCACCCTCGTCCTCAGCTTTGACTTTGCTCTTACCCCACTGCTTGTCTGGGCAAATGTACTTGTTCCTGTGGAATTCGTGCAGCAGAATGTACTCGTTACGTTCGGCGCGAGTTCCACTCAGTGTTCGAGCCCAGGAGTTACCAGCCAAGTTGGTCAGGACCTTGGTGAGTGGCAGCATCTGCACCTTGATCGCTATAGCGGCGATGAAATATGCGTCAGCCTGACAGTGCTTGACATAATTCAAGAGGCCTTCCTTCGTGGTTGCCCAGGTTTTCAAAGCAACCTCATTGTCAAGCTCTTCACGGCGCTTGTTGAGACCGAGCTGACACATCTCTTCGAGACTCCAAGATTGGCATTTTGGCATGAGAGACTTTCCGAGATCGTTGGCCAAATCACACAACAAGCGGCCAGAAGCCAGTTGCTTCTCAGCAAAGAAGCTGCCTCCGCCTTTGCCCATATTCTTGGGCCAGTCGCTCCTCTTAAGCCGTCCAATACGGTGCCATCCGGGGGTTTTCTTTTCGCGCAGGCGGCTCAGCAAGACACTGTAATCCACATCATCCAAACGATGGCCAACAAGAACGTCTGGATCGTGCCGGTAAAACATGGCCATAAGCAGACTGAGAAGTTCTTGCTCAGTCTTCTTGAGGTACATGTTACCCTTGATTTTCTCAACTTCGCCTTGAAACCCTATCGGGAAAGCCGGTCCGTTTGGTCGCATAATGGTGAAGCTCTTGCATTGCATCTGGTCAACGGGTGTAGTGTCGGTTAATGAAAAGTTGTCGTAGATCATCGCGCTGGCCATCAGGATCTCCTGCTTGTTGTCTTTTGCGTTGAACGTTGTTCGTAAAGAAAGACTCATGAGGGTCATAGGGGGCGCATCCAGATTATCCGACGCACTCGTAACCGTGATGTTGTTGGGTTTGGTGACCAGAACTTCCAGCTTGCACCAAGAGGCATTGGCGACAGCACCGAAATCTGGTGCATCAATCTTCAGCCAGCAAGGTCCCATGATGTTCTTCCAAAGAACAAACTGCTCGAAAAGGGACGTGTTGGTTCCAAAGACGTGTGAGAACGTCTCTCCCGTCAGGTCAGAAGACAGGGGCATCTTATCGTATCCATATAGAAGTTTCAGGTAGTCCGCCTCTTTGGGTATGTCGGCGAGTTCGAAAGCGTACTTCCTTGTGCATGGCTTGATCTTGTGTAGGTTGACGCGGTGCTTGCTCATGATCATGTCGACCTCGTCTGAAACATCACTCAGCCCAATCTCCTCGTCGGTGGTTACACCCCTGACGTGACGGTATTCACGGGGCAAGAAGTACAGTTTGCGTAGTATGTTGTCGACTTTTACGAAGCAACTGACGTATTTTCCCGACTTCCGGTCTTTAACTTTGCCGAACAAGCACAAGCTACCGTTCACCTCAGTATAGTCGATCCAGAACATACGCATGCTACCGTCGTCTTCTAAAGCATCTTGTGGCTGCAATTTACCAACTCCTGTGGTCTGTGGAGCTGGGCTGCTCATGACGTTGAGGTTGCTTGTTACATCGTTCCAAGAAGAAGCATCGACGTGTGTTGTAGATGGTTTGGCAGGCGAAGAGTCGGCAGGTGTGGGGTGATCCTCCTTTTTGATCTTCGCTATTGGGCGTCGGCCAGCCATGTTGACGCTGGCAACGGGTACACCAAGATGGCCCGTGGGCTGGGCAATCTCCATGAGGTCCTCTTCCTCTTCTTCGATCTTTACCGCGGGTTGTGCTCTGCGCTCTACGGCCTTTGTGACTGGTGATGATGGTAGTGGTGCGTCACTCATGGGAACGTCGTCATCGAATGTGGGAAGGGCATCGTCATCTGCCTCTGCTACTTCTGTTGGCGGGGTGCCTGGAATATGACCCGAGTCATTCGTGCGCCGCTTTGTCGCCGCTGGGCGGTTCTCAGATATCGGTGGTGATAGTACGCGAGTCTTTCGCCTAGCCTCGGTTTTGATGGGTCGTGTTCGGATCGTGGAGGTATGGACGGGGCTTGTCTCGATTTCGCCCAGCAGGTCATCCATGAAATCTTTATCGGCGGCAGTGGCAACAGGCTGGAAATATCAGCCCGCCGTTTCGTATACAAGGAAATGTTAAAATTTACCTTTGCTTTTGGTGCCATGGCAGCATTCTTCGCACTGAAGTACTTGCTAATGCCATTGTTAATCTTCTTCTGTTTCTCTTCATCTTCTTCGCGCTTTCGCTTGGCTGTTGCACGTCAACTCTGTCAATTGAAGCTTCGTGTGTTGTAGCATACCCGCTTTCCCTTTAGCGGGTCTCTCGTCTTCATCCTCGCTTTCTGTGGCAGCGTAGCGGTATCGGCCCTGATCATCGTCCCACTCTTCTCTGCCGTCATCGACGTATCCTTCGCCTTCGTCACCGACCACAAAGTCGTCTTCGTCCAATCTACCCCGCACGATCTTCTTGTACCCCTCTTCGTCGACCTCGTCATATAATTGTTCTTCTTCAGCAACCTCGTATGTGTCCATACGCGTCTTGCCAGCGGCACGATTGGCCCGCAATTCCGCCAACAGGGCAGCGCCCGTCTTCTTGCTTGGTCGAGGCATGATATATTACAACGAATAAATTATGCGGGCAAAAGAAGTGAAGAGAAGAAATTGGGTATGGGGCTCGTCCGTGGGCGTGTTTGGAGGGCTGGCGGGACGACAGGTTCAAGTGCAGGAGCGACGCGCTAGTTAACACCGTGCACGCGACGCGCCTGCCCATTAATCGCGCCAAGCCACTACCCCGATTCGTTCATTCTATTACTCCCCCACCAACACCCCTCTCCAGCAGACACACACATCACAATGGCATCAGTCTCGAAAGCGCCTCTGGTCTGGATAGACTGCGAGGTATGCTTCTTGACATTGTTCTCAAAGTAATTGATTATTGTTGACCCCGCTAGATGACCGGCCTGAACACCGACAGTGACTCGATCATGTCGCTGGCCGCATTCGTCACTGATGCAGACCTCAACATATTGGATGACGCAGGTTATGAGGCAGTCATTCACCATGACAAGGAACAGCTTGACCGCATGGGGGAATGGTGTACCAGTCATCACGGGGACTCTGGGCTAACGCAGGCCTGCATCGAATCTACCACTACCGCCGAGGAAGCTGCTGAGGGCCTGCTCAGCTACATCAAGAAATATGTACCTGAGCGTCGCACGGCTCTTCTTTCGGGAAACTCTGTACATGCCGACAAGGCTTTCCTCGTCAAAGAGCCCTACAAGGTTGTAATCGACCACCTTCATTACCGGATTTTGGATGTCAGCAGCATCAAGGAAGCTGCGCGCAGATGGGCCCCTAAAGAGACGCTGAAGAAGATCCCGAGGAAGAAGATGTTGCATGAGGCACGACAAGATATCTTGGAGAGTATTGAGGAAGCAAGATACTATCGTGAAGCATTCTTCTTGAGGCCTCAAAGCGCAGCAGAATCGCAATAGAACTGGAATAGGAATATATCCAGTCACCAATCCTGTTCAATAAATGCATGTATTCTCGAACGAAATATAACGAAAACTCATATCATTACAATCATATTTCATCTAAGCTTCTGCTGGAGTGTGGAATTTCTAGGCTACGTATCATATGATGCGCCTCAAAGTCACAATCCCTCGTCCCAGGCCCTAAAAGATTGGTGCTGGTAGTTGGGCATGCACTTCACCTTTTCTGGAGGCGAAGTCTCCCAATCAATTCTAACATCATCGCCTTCGTTTTCGAGGTGCTTAGAGACATATCCCTTCAGTGCCTTGATCTTTTTCGCCGCCTCATCGCTGTATTCCACGTTGACACTCGGCACGACGGCAATCTTTCCGTATCCATTGAACCACATATCTTTAGCAAACAGCTTCGGCTCTCCTTGGAAGCACTCGCCCTCTTTGTGCGCCCGAAACTTGATCTTCTTCTCCATGAGCGGCTTTGCCGTGAATGCTGTCACGCCATTCCAGCATGAGAATACTTGGAAAGGTTTCGAACTCGACAGCCGCGTCTGTGCCTTTTGGTCGTTCCAGAATAGATTCCATGCATAATCCCAGCTTCCATCTTCGGGGATGTTGAAGAACAAATCACCGGTCATGCCTCGAGCGATCCAGACATCATAGAACGTTGGATTCTCACCAACATATGTCCAATCCATGGCACATGTTTGGTCAGCTCCCTGAAATTTGCGCTGATGAATCATCTCCAAGAAATCTTCCATACAAAGTGCAATGTCGTTGGGGAATATTACAGTCGTGTCGCTATGGTATATCTCCGGACGAGCAATGAGATCTTCCACGGCCAGGTTTCGGAGTTCTGCAAGGGCTTCAATCCGATCGGCTCCTTGAGCTGTTGGATTGATGTCGCTCGATTGTAGTTGATATTGGATCCCCAGGAGTTGCATGCTGGAACGCAATTCGTCAAGCACTTCGAAAGTACCGTCATCTGACCTCCCCTCAACTATAGACAGTACGCAGTGTTGTGGCCCGAGAAATCGTATGGTTTCTACTATCGAACCAATCAATCGCGGAAGAAGATGGACACACTGATGTAAGTCGAGGGCAAAGAAGAACTTGGGAAGTTGGGCGTGAACCGACGATTCTGATGACCCTCTCAAGTAATTATAACGCTCGAGATTCGGCTGCGGGCACTCTAGGCGTGAAAATGTCTGATCTGACGGTTCCATAATCGCGCGAATATAAGGTGGTGCCTGAGCTCGAAGAGTGGCATTACCTTCTTTCAAAGATAGTGAAGAGGGTGTTGGGGTTGGAGCTTGTTCCAAGCGAACACCAGTCGATGCTTCACCATGTTTTCCTTTGACTGTCAGTAAGATGAAGATTTGATTGAATAAGTTCCTACCTGTCGTACCGGGATGGAGATGCCCAGTGACTGTAGATTTGATCGTCGAGAAGTTGTTGCCATACTGAAAAGCTCCAAGTCCTGTCGTGAGAAGGAATATGAAGGCCAGCAACGCGATAGCCTGAAGAAGCGATCTTATAACTCGTGGTGTAGCCATAGGACAGGTATTGCGATAGACAACAATTGAGGTGCAACTAAGAGAGTGATAGTCACTACGCGGCTGTGAATGAAGGAGCTTTCAGCATGGTCAAAGCAACTGCGCCGCATCCCGCTCAAAGCACGGGTGGAGACCGTGGGGGTAGGCGCCTTTGTACTACCCTTCACCCAAAAACGGGCGCTTATCGAAATTGCGAAGCATAATACCTGTTTCTAACCAATAGTTGGACTTAGCCGCCCCGACTAAGCGACTGTACTTTGGGCGTTTCATGCGTTGGTTCAGGCACAACACACAACGCTGCGTGGAGAAACAAATAGCAGAAATAAGCCGCAAACTGTTAAAGCTTCATACCGTCACATACTCACAGAATATACCCCGACTTGTATTGCAGAGAGCTTTCTTTTCAACGCGTGGGAGTAGGCTGGTTTACCCAAGATACTTGGCATCCGATGGATCTCTCAAATTTAAGTATGCACCCACTCTCTGGGTAAGTATAGCCGACCCCACGCCCTACAGTTGCAGCTGTGCCACAGAGCTAAAGGGGTGTGCGTCTGTTATTGATTGCATGTGTCGCAGTCTTTTACGTATCTACGTGTCTTGCTATCCGTTCCTCTTAGTTTACTTCTCGTCAGTCACTCGTTCGAAGACATGTTCTGGGTTCTCTTCTCAGTCTTTGTAATGTTAAGCTCACTGGAGCAAGTTCCCTCCAGCTTTGCCATGGTGTGCAGTCAAACTACACCTGCACTAGCCAACGCGACCGCACGAGCCCTCCAAGCCCATCATCTGCTCAAGAAACGACAATATTCGGGGCCTGTTACTACCTGTGGATACCTTAATGGCGATCCACAAAGTGCGCGGACAGCAGCTTATGGCTATGGATGCCGCGTAGACACCGCACGTGGACTATGGGGTTTTTGTCCAACAAGTGTGATACTGGCCGAAGACTGTGGTTTGGCAGGATTCTGTGTGGATGATCACTCGTGTACGGCAGGGTGTGGCAGTTTTTTCAACCAAATAGGTATCACTACAGTCTCATGGTGAGCCAGCGCAACGTTCTTTACTGCTTCGAATTTGTTTTCTAACCAGACCCTAGTGAAAAAACCCAATTCTGCTCCACTGCCTTACTACTTAACGGCCGTGATCAGTCATACGAGTATATTGCTTGTGGAATAAATCCAGTGCCAGAAACATTATTCCCAGTTCCGAACGCCGTGGAAGCATCGACGACATCGAGCCCTAGCGCCACGCGCAGTGCTTCTTTAGGTACCCCGAATTCACAATCAAACCCACCGAATACAAGGGAACCATCGTCCCTCACTACTTCGCTAGAGCCTTCATCGCCATTGTTGACACCATATGCAACGGATACGTCTTATGCACAAAAATTCACGAATACCGGGGCTATTGTGGGAGGCGCCATTGGAGGGCTTAGTGTCATTTGCTTGACCATTCTTGGTGTGCTACTCATACGTAGAAAGCGCAGAGTTGGGGAAAAGACAGACCAGTCTCCAGGAGACATTTATGACGACCAAACTGCTCCTACAGACGACACTAGGTACGGTGGTTACCACTCATTATACGCAAAAAAGGGGGCGCATTGGGATAGCAGTCATGGTCCCGTAGAGATGCATGCTGGGTATACTGCGAGCAGTGAACCCATCGAGCTCATGGGAAATACGCAGTCTAGTGAGCATATATTAAAACAGAGATGATTGTGCAATGTGAATGGATTGGACGTTGTGGTAGTTCCGCCTTGGAATCTGATAGAACGCGGACAAGAAGTCATCAATGCATATATTATGAAGACATTGAAGGCAACGGCCTTTGATGAACTGGAAAGGAAGTTTTATCTTTGGTGACGCGTGCGAATCTTGAGAGCTTGCCGGGGCTGCTTGAGAAACGTGAATGCCAACGCGGTACGCTTTGATGCAATCGTATCATACCATGTATTGATTCCTTACGAAACCAACGATACTACCAGATTATATTACCCATTTGAACCGTCGATCCTGTATGGTAACGTGTGGATGTCGATTAATTGAAAACACGTCTCGTTTCTTATCCAGTGTGGCACGCGTTGTGACTGAACGCTTCCCCTCACGATCCTGTGAAAAGAAGTGCTATAACCGAGGAAGGCAACTCATGTCGTCCCTTCTCTTTCTCGCGCTGATGCCATTGCACAGTACTTTCTGGGGCCGTCATCGAAGCTCGTCTCGGGTGACTTGCGCATTTGCAGCCTGCCTCCCAGCATTCCCAGCATGCTACACCAATCCCACAAACCTGTCGCGTACAGCGGGTGGCATGGACGTACTCACGCGTGAAAAGATGTTGCGTAGGAAAAGCATGGGTTCGACTTCCTTTCATCCAGCCCTATAAGGACACTGGAATCCTTGAATGCCCTGAACCAACATTCTGACCTTTCTCCAAAGGGTACGGCTCCGCAGTTATGATCCTTCGGACCGGGCGAGATCGATTGGGCGAGCCCCACGAAGAGTAAGACTGCTCAGAATACTATAGCGTCCTGAAGAGGTTAGAGGGCGGGCGGATCGTCCAAGCTGCTTGTCAGGTGATGGCGGCCTAGTAAGCGGTGTCTCGATCAGTACTTATCGGTGTTCGTCTTACAGACCACAGATCGAAGTGGCGTGTGTAGCACTGGGGTCAATTCAGTCGTTGGCACGTTCCGCGCAGCGGCAATGTTTGTTGGTAAACAGATAAGACGGATTTGCATATTTACTCATGCGCTGCAATATTGCATTACCGCCATGTACCTGCCCCCGGAATACACCTTTGGTCTTGCGGAAATACCAGAAGCGGCATGCCGGATGCGCCTCCGACCGTGTGCTTGGATAGGAAAAGACCCAATGCGGGGTATCGGGAGGAGATCCAACTACCCCGCAAGCTAGACCTCTCAGATAGTATCTACCCCAGTCGCGTGTACGTATGGCGTAGGCCCGGAATAGTTCCGTGTCAACACTGGTACTTGTTCTATCCTTGAAACTATGAAGTCTCCGGCGGTATCCTACGGACCACCGGCTCGGGGCAATACCAGCGGAGATCGAGCAGGTTGAGACATGGCGAAAGAAGTCAAGCGGTATCCAAAGGGCAAGCTTGAAGTCGCCCTGGTTATTGGACACGAGATGGGCACAGCGTGGCGGATGGAGTGTCGATCATGCAAGAATCCCGCAGGAGGGGTACGTTATTATTGTTCCATTAGAGTCTAGTGAGCTCGAGGCTATGTAAGACTTTGGCCGAGGCCGTTCTAACTAGATTTATTTACAAATACGAGTTTGTGCTTGAAGTGTGTCTGTGGTGCTTCGGCCTTTGTCTAGGTAAGCGATAGCTATCGCTTACTAGACGCCTAGTGCTAAAGAGCATTTTGATAACAGAAAGAGAT